CGTCAGTATACGTAACTTTTCAAGGGCTATCCAGTGGTGACATCAAAAGTTGAGAAAACCTTGTGTAACGTAGTCGAAATCCAAAAATACTGCTATTTTAGTGATTTTTTTCGTCGTTTTTCGGCTTTCTTTTTGCGAAGTGTTCTTTTCCTTTATTTTGACATACATATGACTCTCACAGAACATGCCTTTGCACTGCCGTTTATCGTTCGAATTAGAGTTCTGGGTTGTTGGCCGTCGATTTGTCTAAAAACCGACGTTGTCTCTCGCTCAGCGCGTAGAGCTCACCCAGAGTCGAGGAAGTTCACTAAAAACTCTCTCACACACGTTTCTTTGAAAATAAAAGAAATATACAATAAATTTAGAAGTTAAACGACCCAACAATTTTTTTGAAGTTTTTCGGATGATGAGAGAGCAAAACAAGAGTTGTTGCCGAATAGTCCGGGATATTTCGAGTGATTCGTAGACGACAAGCGTTACAAATGACATTGATTTCGGTGTTAAGAGGCTCCCCAAATAATAATGAATGAAGTTGCGAATATGAAGTGGTGGCTTGCTGTATACTCGGATAATCTTTTGTAAAATAAGTTCGGCTGTTTCGGAACTGCTTTTGGCAAATATCACATCGTTGACTGAATGAATACATTTTAAGAATGATCCATTGCGGGATGGCACCGCGGCTGAATAAGTTAACCGTTCGAGATAGATATAGGTGAAATAACTTTCGAGATAGTCTCTGAGAAGAGTGACGATGGAGCGTATGCGATGAATGATGTGATGTACCCGGGCCGCCTCGGCCGATCTTAATTCTCGGTTTCGGCCTTGCCTAAGGGCCTCATCAGGGGGCTTCAAAAACTCAGAGGTGCTTTCAAGTAACAGGAAAAATTTTCTATTTGTTACAGAAGCAATTTGTGAACGGATATTCGAAAAAATCACGAAAAAAATCACTAAAATAGCAGTATTTTTGGATTTCGACTACGTTACACAAGGTTTTCTCAACTTTTGATGTCACCACTGGATAGCCCTTGAAAAGTTACGTATACTGACGAAGTTTCGAGTTGCGTCGAGATTTTCTTCCTCATCATTCAGGGTCAGAACTGCTTACAAAACCACGGTTTACACAGTATAATATCCTTAAGTTTTTACTAGAGTCTTTTAATTCAAAAGTGATAACGTCAGTGGATGCAGCAAAAACTTCTGCATCGATCGGTGTGCTTTTATTAAGGTTTAAAAAATACTTTTGTGAAGAAATGAATTTAGTTCTGAATTTTTGAGGTTTTTGGTGAAAACCTGTAATTCCGAGACTCTGGCCGAACAAAACCTTTTCATGAATTCTAACATCGGTATTCGGGATCAGCATGATCGATTACATATGTCTAGACGTGTTTGAGAAAAATCAAAAATGAAAAGTTTTTCGAAAACCCTGAGGGGGACCTCAGGCCTCGAAAACCCGACCGAGAGATTTCGCGAAAAACACTATCTGGAAATGTTCCTGGGCATGCCCTGACATCATTCCAATGCAAAAAAGCCGAAAATGTCTTGGGCCAGGAAAGGGCCTTAATGGCCCACGTCCTTTAAATAGATCATTCAGTTTCGATAAACATTTCATTAATAAAACACATTCTAATAATATCTCCTTGAAACAATTTTAATTACAAATAAAACTTTCATTAGATATAATAAAATAAAATTTATCATTAATCATTAACAATAAAAAATGAATATTTTCCATTAAATATTATCATCTCAAAACAAGATCATTCAGTTTTTTTATTTTCTATTTTCAATCATTACGCCAAAAGTATATTGTAGGATTAACATTAACATAAAATGTCCGAATTGGCAATTCTAGATTAAACAACTTCTGTATTAATCTTCTAAACTTTTAAATGGAAATGAAACATAACAATAGTTCAAGATGAACACATAAATTTTGCTTAATTCGTCAGATGAATGAAATGAAACTGAGCATTTGAATATTCATTCTTAGTCTCAATATCCTCTTATATTTAATATAACTCCTCGCTTTTCAATTAGAGCAACTCAATCAATATATAAAATAAAACGTTCAGCAAGAAACCAAATAAAAGCAGCAAATGGAGAAATATCTCTAATATCTCTAACGTCGATGTCTCCCAACAAATCCCAAAAATTGCTGAGGAAAAAATATCAATTCACTTCAACTAATATAATCAAAAGTCGAATTAATGTTATTCATTACTACTCCTGTGAATAAAGGCCATTAATAAAAAAATCCATCTAAAATTCTGAAATAGTCCCTGTTTGTAGCATAACAGAGTCAGCAACAACAGAATAAGTATCGTACAACACAATATTCAATCGAGAATTCGAAAGAATAATTCCAGTCAAGCCTCCTATAGTAAATAATAAACTAAATCCTAATACTCAAATGAATAAAGAGAATCAAATTTATAAACTCTTTCTGCTAAAGTCCCAAATCATCTAAGCCCGGGTCCAAGAAAACGTCACCGTTAGCGGTAAGTTAACGTGCCGTAAACGGACCGTTCTCAGAATCTAAAACTCAAAGTTCTAGATCTTAGATAGATCGTTTTTTCATCCGTTATTACTATTCTATTAACTCCTAAAAAAAATTTCCTCTGACTTCGTCACACTGGCTCATGTGTAGAATCTACCCTTTCTCACTAATCGACCTAATCTAGGTACTAGACTATACACATCGTCTAACGGCACTATAAGTTTTTTTGATTACTTGACAGTATCGAGATTCGTACATCAGAATTCGTGTTTGCCAGTCTGCCACTGTAACTATATGGCCATGTCGGATCGAAAACTAACATTATCAAAGTGCTGTTCAAGCTGGCAAGATTACGTACTACTTTACCTCTAGTTTATTTGAGTTCATCTACATAGTGTGAAATATGATGGAGGAAAAACACATACATATTAGATTCTTTAAACCGTAAACAGGTCGTTGACGGCCAATTAACGGCGCGTTTTTAGGCCGTTTTTTACATACATGACTCGAGATACTTTTAACCGTAAATAGGCCATTAACGGCAGAGAAATTCTAATGTGGTTTACCGTGAGGTATTGAAAAACGGCCTGAAAACGGTCAGTTAACTGGTAGTTAACGGACAGTGAATGGCGAGTTTCTGTATGAATAATATCTAGTCAGAAAACGGTCAATAAACGGTGACCATTAACTGACCGTTTCTAACCATGGACGTTTTCAGACTATTTTTTGACCGTAAAACGTCCACACTAAAAATGTCTTAGTCACGACAGGGCTGGGCAACTCCGCCAAGATTCAACTCCAGCTCAAGTCGAAATCCAACTCCGTTTTTAAATTTGCGATCCAACTCTAACTACAACTCCGTTTCAAAAATTCGCAACTGTGTTTCAACTTCGGTTGTTGTTGTGACACCTCTGAAGGTGGCAATACCCACTCCGTTTTTTCTCCGTTATATAGCTACGAAAAAGATGATGAAACGAAGTCACATATATCAAGAAGAATGAAACGACGAGGTCGAAGTGCATTGAAAGAGACACATACACTGACGTCTGACACATGAAAGTGATATAAATTCTGTCATATTTTCATATCCCAAAAAAATGATTATTTTCTTACGTATGCGTTACTCTTTTTTGAAGAAAGAAAGCGTTACAAAAACAATTACATGGGATTCAGAATAAGAATAAATAAAAGACAACTCTGTTCTCAAAAATTCCAGCTCCAACTCCGCTAATAAATCGCCCAACTCCGGAGTTGGAGTTGCCCAGCCCTGGTTCACGGCTTGTTTACTGGCCGTTTTGAGAACGTTAATGCGCCATTTTTTGTGTGACCATTAACTGGACGGTAACGGGCCGTTTTTGTGGACCTGGGAGAATTTGGATTCCAGCTATAGATATCCTAGCAGCAGTAAAGTAAGCTTATCAGTAAATCAAGATAAATGCTGAAATAAAATAGGATTAACTCGTCCCCTCTCGGATTACAAAACGAAGTTCCAAAATAACGATCAAATAATAAGATCAATAAACCAACACGGATACACTTAAACCTAATAAAAATCGAGTAATTACTATAGCTCATGTGGAAATTTATGTTCTCACGGTTTGGACTCAATTGAGATACAATCCATATTTTCCTCAAGTAAACCAATATTCGTGCGAAAATATTTGTTTCTCAACTGAGCTACATTTTATAACATATGAACAATCAAATACATACACGACCAATTGATAAATGGCAAACGACGATTACCATACACATTGGAAAATGGCATTGTACATAGAATTATGCCTCGTTATGGTCACACACCATTAAAGTTACCGTTTATACCACAATCAATGATTGCTCAATTATTACAAGCTTATCATGATAGTCCAACCAGTGGACATTTAGGTGTCAACAAAACCTGGCACAAGATTCGGGATCGATATTATTGGCCAGGAATGTACAATCAGATTAAACAATATATATTATCATGTTCCAAATGCC